AAAGAAAGAAAGAAAGAAAGAAAGAAAGAAAGAAAGAAAGAAAGAAAGAAAGAAAGAAAGAAAGAAAGAAAGAAAGAAAGAAAGAAAGAAAAAACGCCAAAACGCCAGAACGCCAGAACGCCAGAACGCATGGGGAGATCCTCGCCGGAACTACACGTCACTTGGATACAATAGACAGCACCAGAGTTGTCAATAGTTAGAGAAAATGTTGCAGGCGCTTTTTGAACGTCTGCAGTCTCCAGTTTGACCCCCCCTGGGAATGCTGGGGTCCAGCACCCCGACGGGTCCCGGGGGGCGGCGTCCACCCAGCAACTTTCCGAGGCCCCAGCGGCGCCCTCGCTGGGGAGCCGGCTTGATGCGCCCCGGGTAGCTGCAGCTGGCACTCAGTATTGGCAGCAAGAGCCCCGACGTGGCATGGCCGTCGGCCTGAAGCCACACTTTGCAGGAGTCTCCCCGAAACTTGCCCTAGGAGCGAGCTCAGGGCGCCGGGGCTCCGCGCGGATTTGCACCGCGGCACGGACCACATCGGCTTTCACCAACAGTCCGTCCCCCTCGGAAGGAACTGAGGGCTGCATCCGCACCCCTCGGTCCCCCTGGGACCAAATTTCTGGTAGACGACGCCCTAAAACACAGCGTCTCGGTCTCCCCTTCCCGGCCCGTTGCGCGGCGTTTCGTTTCCCAGGATGGGAAACGCCAGAACGCTCGCAAAGCGCGCGCACGGCCGTCCATCACCCTCCGCCCACGCGAGCCCCGCGCAGCCCTCCCATCCGCCCAAGCCCACTCGGTAGCGAACCCCTTCTCCTGGGGGCCCCCAGTAGGCGCCGCTCCCCAACCTAAGGAGCTGCGTCTTGCCTCTGAGTTGGCTCGTGACGATGTGTGCAAACACTCAGATAACTGGGGGCGCCGGGGTGGGGGAGCCATGGACGGGTGTGAGCGCGGACGCACCACGCGCCCAGGGGCGCACGGGGGGTAGGTGGGGGGTCATGAGCGGGTTGGAGCGCCAGGGCGCACGGGGGACGCCATGAACCGGAGTCAGCGCGGACGCACCCCGTGGCCAGAGGTGCAGGGTCTGAGCTGCATGAACGGGTTTGCGCGCCAGGGCGCACGGGGGGCGCCATGAACCGTG